GTATCTTCTGCTTTTTAGTCTTTTGCGGCTACCAGGTCTCCCCGAAAAAGGAGGAGCCAGCAAAACCCCTATATTTGGTCTGTATCTCAGCTTCCGCAGCATAATGTCAATCCCATTGCAGGTTTGGGTTACCATTGGACCAGTTACAGTAAGATAAAGATGGACTTTGCTTCAGGAGGCAGAGGCAGATGGATCTCTGAGTTAGAGGCTAGCCTGGTCTATAGAGTGAGTTTCCGGACAACTACAATCATACAGAAAAACCCTGTCTTGTAAAACAAAGAAAAAATAGAACTAAAGTATTTTAAATCTACCAATTCACATAAACTGCTTACCATCGTATACGTTTGAATGAGTGTCATACTTTCTTGAAGTAATCCTATTCTTGGTTTGTTTGAGGAATTCCTGCAGTTGGTTTTGCTAGGACATGTCTTGGAACAGGGTTTCTTGTAGCTTAGGATGATTCCAATGCTGTGTTAGCCAAAGATCAGTTTGAACTCCTGATCCTCCTGCCTCCATCTCCCAAGTGCTTAGATTAAAGGTGTGTAGCAATGTCTGGCTTGTAAATCCACCTTTCTTGAAAAATTAATAGAAGAAATTAATGACACATATTTTCAATATCTTTTTGGTATATGACATCTTCATCCTCAGGTCTGCTTTTCATGTATGCCAATCGACATCATTGTCTTGCTGAATTGTATAAATCTAGCTTCATACATATATGTGATTGGAAAGGGAAGGGCATCCCAGCTACCACAGAAGAGATTGTGGACCAACAGGGTTCCTGGAGGACCCCTGATGTCATCTGCAAGAGATACTTGCTCCCAGGTCCCAGTGTTATTTTCTGAGAGAGAACCTTGGCATTCAGAAACATTGGCCTGAGGGTGTTAGGAGGAGAAGGTGGAACCCTTTCCACTTCACTTGCTCTTGAAACAGTGTAGGGTTTGGAGCAGATTCCCATGAGGTAGAATAAGGTAAAACACAAAAATTATTAAATACTGACTTGTAGATTTCCTTAGTAATGTCCTTGAACTGCTTCTACAGCCCATTGGGCAAGCATGACTCTTCTTGTTCCCTGAACCGGAATGACTGGAGACGTAGCTGAGACAATGGTTGGCCACCTCTAACCTGCAGACTGCTCAGTGAGCTTCTGTGAAATCCTCCTTGCTTGTCCCCCCCACCTTCTGGTCTTACAGGATAAAGTGAGAATACAAACTAGACCAGGGATCAAATCCTTCCAGGGTTATCCTGGTTTCTGTCCACTGCTGACACCACCTCTCTTCTGCTCTCATTGGTGTCAGAGTGCTTAATCCAGAAAGACTCCCACGAGACCAACACCTTACCAATACACGGGGACACCTGCCTGAAAAACAAACCAAGACAGACCCACAGGGGAGTGGAGGGAGAGACTGAGTTCTGCTTTCATCACTGAGCTCTGATAAGGGGCTTCTTAGCCCACAGTGATAGTGCATTGCTCAGTTTAACTGTGATCTTCTTAGCACATCAGGAAGATGACACATTTTTTTTAGAAGGAATGGGTTTCAAGGTGAAGGAGGGAATGTTTTATGATGAACTTTAAGTTAGAAATCCATGCAGTATAATTTTCTTATTGTCATTAGAACAGCTTCACACTAGTCTTCACTATAAATACTCATTGTTGATCACACTACATTACATAAGACTGTCCACACAAGTATATGATGTACTTTAGGCACAGAGTCTCCTTCCTCCAGTGAGATCTCCTTTCTTACCTCCACCCTCTCCTCGCTGTTTTAATGCTGAGCCCTCTCAACACCCCTTAACTCTTCTTTATTTTTAAGACTTATTTATTGTGTGTACAGTGTTGTGCCTGCATGTATGACTGCACACCAGAAGAGGGCACAGGTCTCATTACAGACTGCTGTGAGCCACCATGATTCCATTGCAAATCAACAAGAGATCTCAAGGAAAAGAACACAAAATCACTTAGACTGAACGGCTCCTGCCAGGCTTCCTGCACTGGGAGAGTTAAAGCAGGAAGACTGTGAGTCTGGGCCAGCCTGAGCTACATAGTGAGAGAAGAAGGAAGCTCAGGGAATTGCAGCCTAAGGAGAGGAGCTGGCAGGAGAGGGAAGACGGAAGGTGAATGGGGACAGGCAGCAAGGGCTGCTAAGCTTAGGAGGGGCAGCCTGCTTGTCCTGGGTGAGCCTGAGCCACCTCTCTGCTCTTCATTTGACACAAGAAACCTGATCATCAGGTCGTCTTTGCTGGGACAGCAGCTTCTTCTGATGCGGTGTCCATGGCAATGTGGTGATGAGCCTAACTCATTTCCACTCTCTTCCTTGTGTGCTTAGCTGTACCGTTCCTCCTGGACGTCCAGTCCCTGGAAAGGGGACAATGTGGACCTGGGACAGAAAGCCAGGGTGAAGCTCACAACGTGGAGCAGAGTGACGACGCCACAGCTGTGTTCTGTGTTTAATTGCAGCCATCTCTCCAGCCTCCACACTGTGTTTTTGACTTTTCAAATTCACTGCAAACATAAACAGTTTTTTCAATCTAAAAAACAAACAAACAAACGAAAAGCTTTTCTTTCCATCTTTTGAAAAATCAGAAGTATTGGCAGTGTGGATCTAAATTTCCTGAAGGCCACGGTGGCACAAGCCTTTCCCCCAGCATTTTAGCGCAGACGAAACAGACTTCCCATTGGGTTGAGCACTGGGTGTCATTTATTCTCAGCCTGTGTCCAGATGTGACTCTCTGCATTGACTGATGCCCACTGCAAAAAGCCTTTCTGACAAAGCTGGAAAGCAGCACTGATCTATGGACATAAACACAAACATTTAAGAGGCAATCTGGCAGCATGTGCTTTTAGTAAAACACCATAGTGGATTCTGCAACCCATCCCCTGCCAGCCTGTGAGCCCACAGACCCAGGCCCTTGGTGATGTTTACAGAGCAGGAGGAATTCCCTATGGTGGAGCAGGCCCCAGATCCAGTGAAATAGCAGGAGTTTCCCCCTGACAGTCATGATGGTATTGCACCAGTGGAGACATCTTTCCTGAAGGCTGGAGTGGTCGCTCCCACAGCTCACAGCTAAGCCCATCGGTGACTTGCCTTCCCACGTGGCCTGCGTCTCACACCCTGGCACTGTGAAAGCTAGCCAGCAGGGAAGAAGCTTCCAGGTCTATGGCCTGTCTCTGCCACCTGTCTCATCAAATAGCTTCTGAGCTAACCTAGTCTCCTGCATTCATTAGGATTAGCATGTATCATGTTACTGTGAAATCTTCATGTGGTTTTACAAGTTCTCCACTGCCATTCTCATTGTAGACACTGAGTCACAGAAAGCTGTGTGTAGGCTGTTCCTGGTGGATGGTGTCCCCATGTACCAACTAATGTGCCACTGAGTCACGGAGAGCTGTGTGTAGGCTGTTCCTGGTGGATGGTGTCTCCATGTACCAGCTAATGTGCCACTGAGTCACGGAGAGCTGTGTGTAGGCTGTTCCTGGTGGATGGTGTCCCCATGTACCAACTAATGTGCAGGCAACTTACAAAACACCGTGTGCCGGCCATCAGAGAAGCATTGAGAAACAAACAACAGTTCTTTTTATCTCAGTGCAGTAGAACTTCCCTAGCACTGTTATCTGACAACATCCCTAATTACAAATAATGGCATAATGGCATTAGTCAACAGTTCAGTTATCTCCATAACACTGATATGGTGTTTAAGCTAATAAAATAATAAAGCAAGCCTGTATTCAGCAGTGTTTAACACTAAAGACAAAAATCACCCTGAGAACTCAGGATATGTTCCTTAACATGTGTTTTTATTAAATTCCTGTCTCAAGTAAATGGGTCGTTAGCACACATGGTTTCTGTCAGCGGGGTCATTTGGATTTAGTTTAGAAGCAATAGAGGGCAGTTCACCTCTACAATAAACAGAAAAATGTCCTTGGGGAAAAAATCTGTGAACACAATTTAAAGTATGCCAAAGGATCAGGTTGATGGTCTAAGTCATTTCTCAGGACATTCCGTGGCTGTAAACGCAACTCCAGCATGCAGCTTGCAGACCCAAGAGAGCCTTCTCCTGCTCCACATCACAGATCACAGCACCAGATGAAGCTGTCCCAGATCCTGCATGCCAAGGAGACCACATCTACACAAGGTTTGGGCTGGGAGAAACATCTGGTCTAGCAGCATAAGCAGGACGAGGGTCTTCGTGAAAACGATATTTTCTGTGAGAGTCATGAAGTGAGAAGCAGTCCCTATCTCGGTGACTCATTGTCACGAAATTCCAGGGCCAGGGAGATGCCTCAGTGGTGAAGGTGAAGGCTACCAAGGCTGGTGACCTGAGTGTTGTCCCCAGGACCCACATAGGAGGAAAGAGCCAACTCCCAGGCATGCGCCTGTGGCATAGCATCTCTCTCTGTGTCTCTCTGTCTGTCTCTCCCTGCCTCCCTCCCTCTCTCCCTCCCTCCCTCCCTCTCTCCCTCCCTCCCTCTCCCTCTCCCTCTCCCTCCCTCCCTCCCTCTCTCCCTCCCTCTCTCTCTCTCTGTGTCTCTGTCTCTGTCTCTGTGTCTGTCTCTCTCTGTCTCTCCCTCCCTCCCTCTCTCCCTCTCCCTCTCTCTCTCTCTCTCTCTCTCTCTCTCTCTCTCTCTCTCTCTCTCTCTCTCTCTCTCTCTCACACACACACACACACACACACACACAGAGGAAACTTGGGGTCTAGTGGCCTGGAGATGAGGTATGGGGGAAGGAGGTGTAGTGAGCGCTGCTGTCCTGTTCTCACACAAGCCCCTCAGATCACAGTGTCTCAGCAAGGCTGTGCTCCTGGTGAGTACCGCTGTGAATGGAAGCATCCTTTTTAGAGGGCACTTTTCTCTTATAAAGTTGCCACTTTCCAGGCAGCTCCTCTTTCTGCACGTTCTCAAGACAGATAGATGGCTGACAGTCAATATGCCAGAACTATTTTGGTGGAGTGTTTTCTGAGACCCAGCACGGTATTAGAAAAATGAAACTTTACACTGATGTGATTCATAATATAATTTGGACATTGGGTCCACATTGACGAAAGCTTCATGATAGATAGATAGTTAAGTATCCTGCCAGGACAGCTGTTGTCATCACAGGGACCCGGGAGTAAGTGATGGTGGACAGAGACACAAAACTCTGGGTTCTCTGTAAGAATGAACAATTGTTATTTTTGTCACGCCATTGTTTTTGTACTGCTTTCTGACTACTAGAGATCACATTACAAGCAGAGCCCAAGAAAGGGTTTTTGTCCCCCCTTACCCGAGTTCTTCCTCCTGCACTCCCTGCCCTGTGCCCCCGTTTTGCCCTGGAGGACAGTCCTCCTAGGACCTGCCTTGAACCTGCACCTTTCCCTCCTTCAGGGAACCACATGTGGGTCAGTGTTTGATGAAGGACCTGAAACCATCTGGACCCCAACTATTCTGCCTCCTTTGAATGGAAGGTTCAGTGCTTACATAAATAAAAAAAACATACATACATTAATTTTTGCAGACTGACCTAGAGATTCAGTGTCATTCCAATGAAAATTCCAACCAAAGAGCCTGACAGCCAGGCCGGGGTCAGAGTACGACACCATCCATTTTATCTGTAACCCCTACATGAGGTGTGACAGGCACCCCCAATGAGTACCACAAGAACATCTTCAGAGGCACCAATCGTGTCTCCCAAAGTGAAGACTTGCTGTACCTGACCACAGCCAATGAGGTGGTACCAGTCACCCACAGCAAGTGCAGAGGGTCAGGTGACAAAGGGCTTCACAGGGTCCATCTGGAAGCTCCACCCATGGAGTCACTCACCAGAATCCTTAGTGCACAAGGAAGATGCAAGGCCCTTCACAGACACCAGCAACCCAGACCCTGTCTGCCTGTGAGGTCCCTCTGGGTTCCGTGTAATTCCAGAATCCTGATCAACAAACAGGTTTAAGACCTGGTTTTTTGTTTTGTTTTGTTTTGTTTTGGTTTGGTTTTTGGTTTTTCGAGACAAGGTTTCTCTGTGGCTTTGGAGGCTGTCCTGGAACTCACTCTGTAGACCAGGCTGGCCTCGAACTCACAGAGATCCGCCTGCCTCTGCCTCCCGAGTGCTGGGATTAAAGGCGTGCGCCACCAACGCCCGGCAAGACCTGGTGTTATTCAGTAGCTTTTTGAAGAGAAATGTGGCAGTCCCCATGACATGAAGAAATCTTAGAGCCCCATGAACCAAATATTCTTTGGTCTTCTGGAAACAAATCTTTGTTAAATTGCATCATTGTACAAATCAGATTTCTCCAGTTTGATAGATGCCTGAGACAAATGGCTTGACAGAAACAGAGACTAAGTTTGATTCCTAGTTTCAAGGGTATCAATGCACAGAGAGTTGGCTCCCTTGTTTGGGGTCTGTGGTAGAGGAGAGCATGGTGGGAAGAATGTACTGAAACAAAACTGCCCACGGCAGAAGACAGGAGGGCAGAAAGGGCACCTGGGGTCCCTATGTGCCCCTCATGGACACACCCACAGTGTCCTAACTTCTTCCTGCTGAGTCCTGCCCCCAAAGGTTACCATCCACAACAGCACCACAGGCTGTGGGCAAGCATTTACTCCATGAGTCTTTCAGAGATACTTACCATCTGGTTCACAAGCTGAGAGTGGACTGCAAGTCTCTAACCCCAGCACTCGGGAGGCTGAGGCAGAAGGATGGCAACTGGAATCCAATCTGGGCTTCCAAGGAAGTTCAAACCAAACCAAGGAGACTGAGTGAGACCCTGTGCCAACACATCCTAAGTCATCCCACAAGACCGATTCCTTAAAAACAGGTTATTATGATAACGTTATGAATGCTGTGCACTGTCATTCCAGTGTCCAGTCAGCAGGTTAAGAGCAGTCATTGCAACTGTATCCCAGGTTGAAGAAATTCCAAGTGGTGAACATCTGCTCTCACCAATAAAATCTACACAAAGAGATATCCATCAAGTGGAACAGCAAAATGCTGTGGACTTTATGAGAAGTGTAGAATTATTTCTTGAGACAACACCTTACAACATTCCTCATGTTAAAAAATATTTATTGCTCCGCTCTCTGCCCTCTGCCTTCTGCTTGAGGTCAGTGTAGGCCCACCTCTTGCCATCCCCTACCCCCTGGGATCTTACTGGGCCTGCTCCTTGTATAGAGTGTACCCTGGCAGGACAGACCACCTGGAGTCTGCCCACACCTCACTCTTGTCACCCCCATGCCCTCTGCCCTCCACTTGAGTCTTGACCCCCCATGCCCTCTGCTTGAGTGAGAACACCAGGACAGGCTGGATCATCCGGAGTTGCAGACACTGAAGTCTTGGCCCACCTATACTACCAAGAGATGAGGAGAGGGAGAGGCCCCACCTGCACTCACTCAAAGAAGAGATGGAAAAAATTACAGTATAAGAACACACTCAACAACAGAAAGACCAATAGGACACCACCAGAATCTAGGGACTCTACATCAGCAAGGCTTGAACACCCCAACCCAAATGAAGCAGAAGAGAAGGACCTTAAAAACAACTTTATGAAGATATTAGAGATCCTCAAAGAGGAAACAAGAAAACCCCTTAAAGAAATGAAAGAGAAAACAAACAAAAACATACAGGAAATGGGGGAAAAGACAAACCAAAAATTTCAAGAAATAAACAAATCCCTTAGAGAATTCTAAGAAAGCCAAGAAAAACAACCAAACAAGTGAAGGAAACAATTCAAACACGTCAAGGCTTGAAAACTGAAATAGAAACAATAAAAAAAAACACAGAATGAGGGGATGCTGGAAATAGAAAAACTGGGTAAACGATCAGGAACTACAGATGTAAGTTTATCAATATAAGAGAATACAAGAGATAGAAGAGAGAATCTCAGCTGTTGAAGACTCACTAGAGGAAACAGTCATCGATCAAAGAAAATCTCAAGTCCAACAAATTCCGAACACAAAATATTCAGGAACTATGGGACACCATGAAAAGGCCAAACCTAAGAATAATAGGTATAGACGAAGGTGAAGAAATACAGCTCAAGGGTTCAGAAAACATATTCAACAAAATCATAGAAGAAAACTTCCCCCAACCTAAAGAAGGATATGCCTATGAAAATACAAGAAGCTTACAGAAAACCCAGTAGAGTGGACCTCAAAAAGAAGTCCCCTCACCACATAATAACCAAAACATCAGACTTACAGAATAAAGAAAAAGTATTAAGAGCAGCAAAGGAAAAAGGCCAAGTAACATATAAAGGTAAACCTATCAGAATTATACCCGACTTCTCAACGGGAACTCTGAAAGCCAAAAGGTCCTGGATAGATGTTCTATAAACACTAAAGGAGCCTAGATGCCAGCCCAAACTACTATACCCAGAAAAGCTTCCAATCACCAGATTTAAACAATACATACCCACAAATCCAGCCTTACAAAAAGTACTGGAAGGAAAACTCCAACCCAAGGAACATGACTACACTCACAGAAACATAGGCAATAGATAATCTCACATTACCAAACACCAAAAGAAAAAAAGGGGGGAAACCCACACACAGTAACACCACCACCATCAAACCCAAAACAAATAAAAGTTAACAATCAATGGTTATTAATATCCCTCACTGTCAATGGTCTTAATTTACATACAAAAAGACACAGGCTAACTGAATGGACACGAAGACAGAATCCATCCTTCTGCTGCATACAAGAAACACACCTCAACTTCAAAGACAGATGTCAGTTACCTCAGAGTAAAGGGTTGAGATAAAATTTTCCAATCAAATGGACCCCAGAAGCTATCTTAGTAGCTAACAAATTAGACTTCAAACTAAAATCAATCAAAAGAAATGAAGAAGGTCATTTCATATTTATCACAGGAAAAGTCCATTAAGACGAAGTCTCAATTCTGAACATCAATGCCCCAAATACGAAGGCACCCACATTCGTAAAAGAAACGTTACTAAAGATCAAATCACACATAAAAACCTCACACACTAATAGTGGGAGGCTTCAACATGCCACTCTCACCACTAGACAGGGCCACCAGACAGAAACATAACAAAGAAACAAAGGAACTAACAGAAGTTGTGACACAATTGGGTTTAACAGACATCTATAGAACATTCCTCCCAAACACAAAAAAAAAAAGTATCTTCTTCTCAGTGCCACAGGTGACCTTCTCTAAAATCAACCATATACTTGGCAACATAGCAAACCTCAACAGATACGAAAAAAACTGGAATAACCCCCTATATCTTATCAGATTCCCTTGGTTTAAAGTTAGAATTCAACAACACAAATTGCAGAAACCCTACAAACTCATGGAAATTGAAAAATGTGCAATTGTACCATTCCTGGGTCAAGGAAAAAATAAAGAAAGAAATTAAAGACTTCCTAGAATTCAATGACAATGAAGACAAAACATACCCAAACTTATGGGACACTTTGAAAGCAGTGCTAACAGGAAAGTTCCTAGCACAAAGTGCTCACAAGAAGAAACTGGAAAATAGTCACACTAGAGAATTAACAGCACAACTGAAAGCTCTAAAACAAAAAGAAGTAACTCACCCCAGAGGTGTAGACACAAATTGAGGGCTGAAATCAATAAAGTAGAAACAAAGGAAACAATACAAAGAATCAATGAAACAAAGAGTTGGTTCTTTGAAAAAAAATCAACAAGATAGACAAACCTTTATGCAAAATAACCAAAAGGCAGAGAGTGAGCATGCTAATTAACAAAATCAGGAATGAAAAGGGGGACATAACAATGGACACTGAGGAAATCCAGAGAATCATCAGGTCATACTTTGAAAACCTGTACTCCACAAAATTAAAAAATTTAAAGGAAATGGACAATTCCCTGAATAGATATCACTTACCAAAATTAAATCAAGAACAGTTAAGTAATTTAAATAGACCTATAACCCCTAATGAAATAGAAGCAGTCATCAAAAGTCTCCCAACCAAAAAAAGCCCAGGGTCAGATGGTTTCCATGCAGAATTCTCTTAAACTGTTCCACACAATAGAAGCAGAAGGGTCATTGCCAAACTCTTTTTACAAGGCTACGATTACCTTGGTACCTAAGCCACACAAAGGCACAACTAAGAAAAAGAACTAAGACCAATATCCCTCATGAACATTGATGTAAAAATACTCAACAAAATACTGGCAAATCGAATCCAAGAACACATCAAAACAATCATTCACCACAATCAAGTAGGTTTCATCCCAGGGATGCAAGGATGGTTCAACATACGAAAATCCATCATTGTAATCCACCATATAAACAAACTGAAAAATAAAAACCACATGATCATCTCACTAGATGCTGAAAAAGTCTTTGACAAAATCCAACACCCCTTCACGATAAAGGTCCTGGAGAGATCAGGAATAACAGGAACATACCTAAACATAATAAAAACAATATACAGTAAACCAACAGCCAATATCAAACTAAATGGAGAGTAACTCAACAGGATTTCTCTTAAATCAGGAGCAAGACAAGGCTGTCCACTCTCTCCATATCTCTTCAATATTGTACTTGAAGTTCTAGCTAGAGGAATAAGACAATAAAAAAAGGAGATCAAGGGAATACAAATTGGAAAGGAAGAAGTCAAATTTTCACTATTTGCAAATGATATGATAGTTTACATAAGTGACCTGAAAAACTCTATCAGGGAACTCCTACAGCTGATAAACACCTTCAGCAAAGTGGCAGGATACAAGATCAACTCAAAAAAAATCAGTAGCCCTACTATGTACAGACTATAGAAGGGCTAAGAAAGAAATCAAAGAAACATCACCTTTTACAATAGCCACAAACAACATAAAATACCTTGGGGTAATGCTAACCAAACAAGTGAAAGACCTGTATTGCAAGAACTTTGAATCTTTAAAGAAAGAAATTAAAGAAGATACCAGAAAATGGAAAGATCTCCCATGCTCTTGGATAGGTAAGCTCAACATAACAAAAATGACGATCTTGCCAATAGCGATCTACAGATTCAATGAAATCCCCATCAAAATCCCAACACAATTCTTCACAGACCTTGAAAGAACAATACTCAACTTTATATGGAAAAACAAAAACCCCAGGATATCCAAAACAACCTTGTACAATAAAGGAACTTACAAAGGCATCACCATCCCTGACTTCAAGCTCTATTATAGAGCTATAGTCCTGAAAACAGCTTGGTGTTGGCACAAAAATAGACAGGTAAACCAAGGGAGTAGAATTGAAAACACTGATATTAACCCACACACCTACGATTTTTGACAAAGAAGCTAAAGTTATATGATGGAAACAAGAAAGCATCTTCAACAAATGGTACCGGCATAACTGGATGCTGGCATGTAGAACATTGCAGATAGATCCATATCTATCGCCATGCACAAAACTTAGGTCCAAATGAATCAAAGACCTCAACATAAATCCAACCATACCAAACCTCTTAGAAGAGAAAGTGGGAGGTACCCTTGAACAAATTGGTACAGGAGACTGCTTCCTGAACATAACATCAGTAGCACAAACACTGAGATCCACAATTAATAAATGGGATCTTCTGAAACTGAGAAGCGTCTATAAGGCAAAGAACACAGTAGATAAGACAAAACTGCAGCCCACAGAATGGGAAACGATCTTCACCAACTTGACATCCAACAAAGGGCTGATTTCCAAAATATACAATGAACTCAAGAAGCTACCCACCAAAATACAAAACAATCCAGTTTAAAAGTGGGGCACAGACAGGATAGAACTCAGACCCGCATCTTTATCAAGAATCACTGAGATGGTTCCAAACGAACGAGTAACCAAAGTGAAGAATCACCTCTTCCCAGCCCGACATCCAGACATTACTGCTACTCATTGGTACTCAAGGCCACTGACACATGGATCCAGGAGTGATGACGTGCAGGGAAACCTAGGACATCCTGAAGGCACTGGGCAGTTCAAGCATCATCTGTCTGATTATTGGTGGCACAATTGATCACTGCCATGTCCTCTCTCCATATTGAGCATGAACAGCCCACCAGAGGATCTGAAGCAAAGACACTGCTTGAGAAACATTCTTGGAACTCTGCATATCTTCAACTATAACTGGAATCACGCACTGTGGTTTTGTCCCAAAGGGTTTCACTTCCAATTTTACACAGCCCAAATCCCACCCATACTGTACTTATCTGGAAACCACAAAGATTAATTTTGTTCCACTAAAAAAAAAAAGTGGGGCACAGAAACTAAATAGAGAATTTTCAATAGAGGAATCTAAAATGGCTGAAAGACACTTAAGAAAGTGCTGAACATCCTTAGTCATCAGGGAAATGCAATTCAAAACAATTTTGAGACTCCATCTTACACCGGCCAGAATGGCTAAAATCAAAAACACCAATGACAGTTTATGCTGGAGAGGATGTGGAGAAAGGGGAACACTCCTCCATTGCTGGTGGGAGTGCCAACTTGTATAGCCATTTTGGAAATCAGTATGGAGATTCCTCAGAAAAATGGGAATCAGTCTACCTCAAGATTCAGCAATTCCACTCTTGGACATATACCCAAAGAATGCACATTCATACAACAGGGACATATGTTCAACTATCTTCTTAGCAGCGTTGTTTGTAATAGCCAGAACCTGAAAGCAACCTAGATGCCCCCACAACCGAAGACTGGATGGAGAAAATGTGTTACACACAATGGAGTATTACTCAGCGGGGAGGAAAAAAAGTGAAATCTTGAAATTTGCAGGCAAATTGATAGAACTGGAAGAAACCATCCTGAGTGAGATACCCCAATCACAGAAAGACAAGCAGGGTATGTACTCACTCATATATGGATATTAGACACAGAGCAGAGGATTACCAGGCTGCAATCCACACCACCAGGGAAACTAGGGAACAAGGAGGACTCAAGAGAAGAATACACGGTCCCCCACAGGAGAGGTAAGAGGGAGGTGGGAAGGGGAGAGGAAGAGGAGGGGAGGGGGAGAGAGAACAGGAGGGATCAGGAGAACTGAGACAGGGGAGGAATAGAGGAGGGCAAGTAAGGAGATGCCTTGATAGAGGAGCCAGTACAGGTTTGGAGAGAGGTCTGGCACTGGAGAATGTTCGAGGATTCACAGAGATGACCTCAACTAAGAATTTAGGCAGTGGTAGAGAGGCTGCCTTTGATGTTCTTCCCCTATAATGAGATTGATTACTATCTTGGTTGCCATTCCTAGAGCCTTCATCCAGTAGCTGATCAAAGCAGAAGCAGGCACCCAGAGCTAAACACGGAGCCATACTCCCAGAATCCAGTTGTAGAGAGGGAGGAGGGATGAGCAAAGCTAAGATCATGCTGGAGAAACCCCCAGAAACAGTTGACTTGACCTAGTGAGAGCACAGAGACCCTAGACATAAAGCTGGGGAATCAGCATTGGACTGAACCAAGTCCTCTGAATGTGAGTGCCATCTGGGAGGCCTGGGCAGTCTATGGAACCTCTAACAGTGGAGCCAGTGTTTATCCCTAGTGCACGAATGGACTTTGGGAGCCCATTCCCTATGGAAGGATACTTTTGCAGTCCAGATACAGCCAAGAGGACCTAGGACCTCCCATGGTGATGTCACAGACTTTGATTTCCTCCCCTCCCCATGGAGGGCCTCACTAACCTTGGGAAGCGGGTAGGGGGTGGGTTGGTTGGTCAGTGGGAAGCATGGGAAGATGGTAGGGCGAGGGATTTGGGGCACTGATATTCTAAAATAAAACAACTTATAAAAATATTTAACACAAGGCTATAATTATAATTGTGAAGTACTGGCTGTACTTCACACCAGAAATGTGACCAGGCCTGACCATGTGCCACTGGCTGGAATGCAAGGGCAGTTTTAATTACAAAAGAATCACCCACGTGGCACTGAGGGTGTAGCTCACTGTCAGGGCATTTATCTAGCTGGCACAAGACCCCAGGTTCAAATCCCAGAACAAAGACAGACACATACAAATTCACGGTAAGTTTAGTATATTTTCATTAACATTGGCTTATATTAGGGCATTTTAGATGAAGAGATGTTCTTCTGAAAGTCCTCGGTGTAAAACTAGAACATTTACGCTAGTTCCAGAGGCAGATGGGGGTAGTTTGAAATGTACAAAGAAGTCTTATACAGAAAATAAGCAGAAAAATAATATGCAGCAAGTGTTAATACAATTTTTGTTATTGTTTCTAGATATAGTTTTTGAAGTTTATTTGTTAACTATAGCTTGTGTGTTGGTATCAGTGGGGGGGCATTCATGTGCAAATGTGTATCTTGCCCCTGTGCTCTGGTGTGTGTGTGTGTATGTGTGTGTGTGTGTGTGTGTGTGTGTGTGTGTGTGTGTGTGTGTGTGTGTAACATGTGTTCAGGTACTAACAGAAACCATAAAAGGTCTCAGAGCCGGAGTTCTCTGCAGTTATGAGCTCTGGGTGACAAACAGACTTGAGTCCTCTGGAACAGGGGTCTGGAAGAGCAGCAAGTACCCTTAACACTGAGGCCTCTCCAGACCTCGACATCATGTGATGTTAGAACTGAGAGACAGAATGCAAATATCTCTTATGAATCTGCCTTTCCAAGGCTCTGTTTCCTCTGAGCACTGAGCCAGGCTTGGTCTGTCTGTAACTGAAGTGCAATCACAAAGTCTGCAGTCAATCAGCAGGCGATACAGAGATTTCTATGCAGAGTTCAGATTCAGATGTCAACCTCTGCCCTGCACAAGATGACTTGGAATTAGACTCCTTACAACGGAGCTAAGAGCACTGCTCTTTGGGGCGTCCGTTGCTTGGTCAAGTGAAGAAACAGCAGGCTGATTGCACAGCGAGGCCATGTGTCAGTCTGTGGTTCTGCATGCTGAAGACTCCAGACACCTGGCTCTGCCAGCTCCACCCACAGGGCTGCTCTATATGTATGGGGCCCAGTGCAGCTCACCCACCATCCCCGATTTCCAGGACAACCAGCACCGTGTTCTCACAGGAGCTCAACATAGACTGGGTAAGTCTCTGAGACTGGGACAGGAGGGGGGGTGTCAGGAGAAATGGACCTGTGAGCCCACAGTGCCAGCAGAGGACCTTCAGGAGGAGACAGGAAAAACTGAGCTGAGATGGGGAGTAATTCCTTCTCTTCTGTTCCCACAGGAAACATGGGTGTGACGCTGCTTGAGTCCCGACTTTGTCTCCTGCTGTTGCTGGGACTTGTCATAATGGTTGTCTCATTCCGGCCCCCACCGGGTTTAACCCCTTCCCAGTGGTTTGCAATCCAGCATGTAAATATGACCAGCTCCCGATGTACTACAGCAATGCAGAGAGTTAACCGTTATACAGGACAATGCAAGGGCACAAATACTTTTATTCATAAAAGTTTTTCTTCTGTTGTTCGTGTGTGTGGCAGAAGAAATACTACTTGCCGTAACGGTCGTGCAAATTGCCATAACAGTAAAAAACGGGTATCTATAACATTCTGTAATCTTACAACTCCAGCAAGTCATTATAGGCAATGCGGATACCAAACAACACGGAAACGGAGGTTCTACAGAATTGCTTGTGACAACAGATCTCCACAAGACAGTCGTACTTATCCAGTGGTTCCAGTTCACTTGGATGGGATATTTTAGCTCCAGTACCAGCCCTTTGTGCCGTCGTTCTGGATCTGCTGCTTGCTGCTTGCACTAGAGAAGAGCCTATACCTCTGTCTGTGCTCCTGTTGCCATCTATCCTGTGAAACCTGACCCTGATTCCCTTCTAATTTAGCTGATCAGATCTTTTCTACTCAATAAACACTTTTGCATACTCATCTGGATCTCTGTGTGTGTGTGTGTGTGTGTGTGTGTGTGCGTGATGTGCTACTGTCTAACTGTGCATGCCTGCCTGCCTGTCTGTCTGTCTGTGCATGTGTGTGTCTGTCTGTGTGCTTTTGGCTTCTGCTGTTTTTCCTTCTGGCTGAGTGTTCTCACTAAATGAGGTATGTCAACCAGGATGTGTTTGTATGTGAGTGTGTATGTTTAAAATCTCACCCTGAGAAAGGCTCAGGAATGAGCTCAGGTACCAACACTCTGTGTTTATCAGCTAGTAGACTAAAAAAGACACACTATTGACTTTGAGCCCATATCTCAAAGGTCTTCTGTGGTGGATGCCTCCCAACAGATGGCCACAAAAAAATAAATCCACTTCAGCCAGGTGATGGCGGTGCACGCCTTTCATCCCAGCACTCGGGAGGCAGAGACAGGCAGATCTCTGTGAGGCTGCGGCCAGTCTGGTCTACTGAGTGAGTCCAGGACAGCCTCCAAAGCTACAGAGAAATTCTGTCTTGAAAAAGAAAAAAGAAAAAAAATACAACCACTTCCCTTCCCGTCAGGACAGAGAGTACCCGTGTTCCACATAAGAAGTATCCAATGAAAATTGAAAGTATATAGATTAAGAAGAGGCAAAATAGCTTAAAGAGTAATTATCTTTAATAGTGGGCTGCAATTAGACAGAAGGCATTAATAAGTGTTCCTTGACTTTCTCAATTTCATGTTCTTATTTCAGATCACCTAAGAGGGTGACCTGGCTGTGGCATTTGTCGCTACATGCTAGAGCTGATACGCTAATCTTTTGATTATATAGGTGTTCTCTTTCTTCCTCACAGCTCCATGTCCTTCCGTCAAGGAACTGTACACTCAATGGAGCAGAACTGTCTCACTAAATGGAGGAAAACTAATCTGCCTTAGGTCAAGGCTGTATGGGTAGCTGTGCTCCTTGGTTAAAACATCCAAATAAGCTCTTGAATGATTTGGTCCAAAACTAAGTAGGTCAATTATATGGAGACAAATCTGATTTTCACTTAGTTTTGTAGTCACATCTTAAATAGTTTCCACAATTATACTACATTATTACACACTAGAAATAATTGCTATTAACTTCATAATAAAATAATATCTAGTACATATATAAAAAAAGAAGTATCCAGTGTCCTCTAAGCTTACAGTGGTAGGTGGTGCCTGGTCCCAGATGGAGTTCAAAGCCAAGATGTGCAGGTGAGATACAGGTTCCCATGTTCCCCAACACCCAACAGAAGAGGTGTAGTCTCTAAGTCAATAATTGTCCTTACATACTGAAAGGAACATGAGGCTCCAAGTTCCGAATGATGAGAGTGTGGAGAGTGAATTGTGGGACATGTCTGGGATGGCCTTTGCTATGATGCCATGGTAACAAAAGGCTGTTATTCTGCCGTAACAATGCAAAGGGCTTTCCCCAGTAGGGCAGCTAATAAGGCAGATTCAGAATGGTCACTAGGAGAATGGTTCTGCCCCAGGAGCAGGAAGTTCTGATAGGAAGACTCAGCCTGAGTCCTCACAGCCTCTGCTTCCCCTCTGGTCCCATTTTTCCTTCCATACACATTGCACAGGGACACATTTAGCATCCCTAGAAATGTAGCACTTCCAACACACTGAGGAAAACAAGAGCTCATCCCAGTCCACCTCCCACCAAGAAATTCATGTGGTCTTCTAGCTCAAAGTCCCACCCTGAGAGATCAACCTTTCAATTTGAATATTTAAATCTTGGGCTGTTTCCCACACTGATGATGGTTTCCTTGTACAAATGTATATAAAACCTGAATAGTGTGGGCCAATTCCTACATACTGACCGGAAACCTCTAAAGGGTGAATGCTTCCGGTTTTTTTTTCTTTTGCTTAGTATAAAGCCAATAATCGGAGGACATGGCAAGACTGGTCTCCTTGTTTAAAGCAGGAGTCAACCAATATCTTATTCCATATACTCGGGGAATTTAAAAAACAAAAATGGAGGAAAATCAACATTAAGGTTTTCTTTTACATAGGAAAGGGAAGTGATTCCATTTTGCCAGGATCATGCATAGATTAGGATTCTTTGCAGGTTTGTTTTGCTTTAAAGGTTTACGTTTATTGAGATGGTGAGTGCACACAAACTGTTAAGTGTGTGGAGGTCAGAGGGCATTTACACAAGTTCCTTCCCTCCTTCCACCACACGGATTCTGGAGGGAACCTTAGGTCACCGGGCTCAGTAGCAGGGCCTTTATTTGCTGAGCCATCTCACTGGTCCTTTCTCTGTTCACTGAAGAGAAGTTTGAGAGCTTTCTTCAGATCACAGGTGTGGGTGATGTCCTGGGTGACTTCAGGTGGGGTCTCTGGCTTGGGAGCTCTGGATTTATCTTGAAAATGTAACCCCAGCTGTTAACATCCAGCAGTTTCAAGGCCATTGGGGTTCTCAGGTCCACCTGGTAAGATCCCTTCCACAAAGGAGTCAACTGTTTCTATGCATCCTCCCAGGAGGACCCAGCCTCCTCCAGACTGGGCGTGAACACCTGTCTTCCCATATTCCTGTGCTGCTTGTGGGGCTTGCCCCCAATTCATAGCATGCTGTAGTGAGCCATCTGATGGACCTCAGAGCCTGAACCCAGACCTATGGGAAGAAAAGCCTCCCATACAACAGGGCTGTACCTGGTGTGTGTTTGTGAAGCTATTCTATCTCTCCTGAGGGTAATGGGAGCAGCTTAAGCCATTTATCAGTGGTTTCTTGGCAAAGTTTTGCTAGGATCTGTTTAAGAGCTTGGTTAAGCCTTGCAATACTACCTGAGGCTTGGGGCTTCCAATCTGAGTGCAGGTAATATTCAGTCCCTAGAGTCTTGCATATAGTTTGAGTCCTCTGTGGTATGAAGGAAGCTCCATTAATGACTCTACTGACCAACCAGGGAGACCAAACCATGGGATAATGTTCCTTAGGAGGACATTTGCCTCCTCTGTGGTCTTTTCAAACACAGTGGGTAAAGTCTCAATCCAGCCAGTGAAGATGTCTACAAACACTAACAGATATTTGAAGCTGGCCGGTAGACACCAACCAGTACATTCTCTCTGCCAGTCCTCACAGGAGTAGGTTTCTCTCCTCTGGGTTTGTCTGAGGAATGGGAGAGGATGAGGGCAGCAGAGCTGTGGAGAGTGTAGGTGACACACATGCTTTACTGTGGTCAGTCTCTACCCAGGAACAGTCAAGTCCTCATAGCTAGAGGAGCATCCCTCCCTGGATGGAATGAGACAGGCATCCCTGAATTGTCTTCACTGTAGGATCTGGAGGGAAAGCATTTTATTCCCCATGCTGGTCCATGGCCAGTTTCAGTCACTCTATTATTAATGACGCCCTGGAACGATGACACACATTTGGTGTCTTTGGAGCAGAGGTGCTGACTCTTTGGGGATCTTTGTCAGTAGGTTTAGAATCACTTGTTTATGTTTTATGGACCAGCTGTTGACTGTTAACCTTCAAATTTTCTACAGATGTCAGCAAGGACATGTAACATCATGAGGACACACTTAAAAGCAGTGTAGATATTAATCTTTTCTTTTTCTTGCCCTATAATGAGTCCCCATATTACAGTCTAGTATGGCCTTTGGATTCAAAATTCAAAGGGGATAACTGGGTAGACTCAATTATTGCTCTTTGTTGAACATTGACTACACTGTCTTGCACTTTCCACATAGAAAGTAACTTTCCTAATCAGGAAACAATATCTGCGCCATCCCCAGTTGTCCAAGACATAATGCTGAGTCAGCCTGGCCCAGGTGGAGGAGACAGGCTCAACACACAGTGACCAGACAGCAGGTCACTTCCATGGGCACAAGGGAAGCACACCTGGGGTATCACCTGTTGTGAGAGTTTCCTCCGGTTGTCTAGGAAGCCCCTCTGATGTTATTAGTTTACTTCCAGTTAACCATATGTAGCCCATTAATTCTAGAGTAGACCTTACCTGGTGGGGTTTGGGAGCTTCTAATCATTGCCTCCAAAGACAGCTTGGGAGCCTCTTCAACTAGCAGTGCTGCAGCCCCTGAGCTTTTGGACAGGGTCCATCCCGATGCTACAACATCTAACTTCTTTGAAAAATCCAGTAGGGGCCATATTCTGTCCCCAAATGTTAGAATCATTGTCCTGAGGGCAGGGTCTTGGTATTCTACCTGTTTCATCAGGTTAAACCATTGTTCCAGTTGACCATCCCAGTTAAGGGAACCCAAGTGTGAGCTCCTGAATCCTGATAGAGAGGTTATTCTGTTAATGCAAAGATGAGAACCCAGATTCAACAACATCCAGCACCCCCTAAAGAAGCAAAGTCCATCTTTATCTTACTGTTTCCGGTCCAGTGATGACTCAAACCTGCAATGGGATTGCCATTATGCAGAAGATGCTGAGATAAAGACCAAATATGGTGGTTTTTGCTGTGTTATCTGGGTCTTTTTCTGGGAGGCCTAATAGCCACAATATACTAGAAAGTTGAAGACACTAATAGTGCTTTGTTTTGAATTTTCCAAGGGAAACCCATTTCAAAAGGTCATCTGTATGTTCTAAAATGGTTCCTTATCATTGAACTACGTCCCTAAGACATTTTAAAGCAGAATTTTACATGTGTGAGTGTTTGCCTGCATGGATACACATGCACCATGTTTGTGTCTTGGTTCACAGAGACCAGAAAAGGGCATTGGATCCCCTGAAAATGAAGTTACAGGTGGCTGTGAGCTGCCATAGGGAGGCTGGGAAGAAACCTGGGTCTTCTACAAGAGCAGCCAGTGCTCTAACCACTGAGTCATCTCTTCAGCCTCTCTTTTACATTTCTGTTTGTAATATGGGAGGGATGTGGAGGTCAGAGGTCAGCTCTCTGGAGCCATTTTCTTTTTCCCCATTGCGTAGGTTAAAGGAATAAACCAGAGAGCAAGACTGTAACAGGAAGGGCCTTTACTGGTGGAGCCACCATGCTCCGCCCCATCCTTATCCTCATGTCCATTGGGATCGTGGTGTCATTTCATGCTCCAACAATTGTCAGCACTTGCTGGGCAATGGTGGCACACCCCCCTTTAATCCCAGTGTTCAGAAGGAAGAGGCAGGTGGATCTCTGAGTTACAGGCCAGCCTGATTGTACAGAGTGAGTTCCAGGACAGCCAGATCGACACAGAGGAAACCCTGTCTTGTAAAACAAAGCAAATTGAAAAAAATAGAACTACAGTATTTTAAATCTACCAATCAAATAAACTTCTTATTATACTATATATGTTTAAATGGGTATCAACCATTCTGAAGTAATCCTGTTTTTTGTTTTGTTTTCATTAGGCTTGGGGATTTACTGCAGTGCGTATTGGTTGGACATGTCTTGAAAGAGGGTCTGTTGTAGGTTAGGATGACTCCAATGCATTGTGTATCCAAAGGTCACCTTGAACTCCTGATCCTCCAACCTCCACCTCCCAAGTACTTGAATTAAAGGTGTGTAACAATATCTGGCTTGTAAATCCATCTTTCTCAAAAAAATTGATAGGAGAAATTTACACCAGATTGTATTTTCAAAATCTCTTTGGTGTATGACATCTACATCCTCAGATCTGCTTTTCATTTATTCCAATCTACATCATTGTCTTGCTGAATTATATAAATATATAATTATATATTTGATTGGAAAGGGAAGGGCATCCAAGAGTTTATGGACCAACAGCTTTCCTGGTGGACCCCTGATGTCATCTGCAAGAGCCACTTGCTCCTGGGTTCCCAGTATTATTTTCTGAGAAAGAAACTTGGCATTCAGAAACATTGGCCTGAGGTTGTTGGGGGAGGAAAGTAGGGACCTTTCCCACTTAATTACTCTTGAGAGTTTGGAGTTGATTCCGATAGATAAGAATAAGGTAGAAGAGATCAATTATTAAATACTTATTTGTAGATTTCTTTAGTAATTTCCTTGAACAGCTTCCATGGCCTCTTTGCCAAGCATGACTCTTCTTGTTCCGTGAACCAGAATGACTAGAGACGTAGCTGAGACAATGGTTGACCACCTCTAACCTGTATGGTCAAGTGTGCTTCTGTGAAATCTCCCTTACTTGCCCACCCCTCCTTGTGGTCTTACAGGATAAAGTGAGAATACAAACTAGACCCGGGATCAAATGCTTCCAGGGTTATCCTGGTTTCTGTCCACTGGTGACACCACCTCTCTTCTGCTCTCATTGGTGTCAGAGTGCTTAATCCAGAAAGACTCCCACAAGACCAACACCTTACCAATATACGGGAGACACCTGCCTGAAAAACAAACCAAGACAGACCCACAGGGGAGTGGAGGGAGAGACTGAATTCTACTTTCATCA